AAAAATGGACAAGTTCTTAGAAATATACAACCTTCCTAGACTGAATCAAGAAGAACTGGAAAATCTAAATAGATCTATCAACAGTATGGAAATCGAAACAATTATCAAAAAGCTCCCCAAAAGTAAAAGTCCAAGACCAGATGCCTTCACTAGGAGATTCTACCAAACATTCAAATAAGATTTAATATCTATTCTTCTCCAATGTTTCTAAAAAACTGAAGAAGAGGTAATACTTCTTAACTTATTTTATGAGGCTGAAATTATCCGGATGCCAAAACCGGGTAAAGAAAACTCAGAAAAAAAAAAAAAAAAAGAAAACTATAGACCACTCATATATAACAAGCCTACAGCTAACATCCTACTCAGTGGGGAATGAATGGTTGAAAGCTTTTCCTCTAAGATCAAGAACAAGACAAGTGTACCCACTCTCATCACTCCTATTTAACACAGTACTAGAAGTCCTAGCCAGAGCAATCAGGAAAGAAAAAGAAATAAACATCCAAATCAGAAAGGAAGAAACAAAATTATCTTTGATTGCAGATGACATGATTCTTTATATAGAAAATCCTAAAGACTCTACTAAAGGACTATTAAAAGTAATAAACAAGTATAGTAAAATTTCAGGACACAAAATCAATGTACAAAAATCCATAGCATTTCTATACTCTAACAATGAATTTTCAGAGAAAGAAGAGAAAAAAGAAATAATTCTCTTTGCAATTGCAACAAAAAGATTAAAATATGAAGGAATAAACCTAATAAAGTATGTGAAGGACCTATATACTGAAAACTGTAAGACATTATTGAAAGAAATTGAAGAAGACACAAAGAAATGGAAAGATATTCTGTGTTCAAGGATTAGAAGAATCAACACACTTAAAAAGATCTTATTACCTAAAGCATTATACAGGTTTAATGCAATCCCTCCCAAATCACAACAGCATTCTTTAAAGAAATAGAACAAAAAATCATCAGATGTATGGAAGCACAAAAGATTCCAAATTGCCAAAGCAATACAGAGAAGAACAAGTCCAGAGGTATCACTCTGTCTGACTTCAAATTATACTACAAAGTGAAAATAATCAAAACAACAGAAACACAGACTCACAGACTAATGGAACAGAACTGAGAGTCCAGAAATAAACTCCCATATACATATGGGCAATAGTTTTTGACAAAGGAGCTAACAACATACAATGGAGAAAGGAAAGCCTCTTCAATAAATGGTGCTGGGAAATCTGGAAAGCCACATGCAAAAGAATGAAACTAGACTGCTTTCTATCACCGTACACCAAAATTAATGCAAAATGAATCAAAAATCTAAATATAAGACCTGAAACAATAAATTGCATAGAGGAAAACATAGGTACTAAACTCATGGACCTTGGATTTAGAGAGGATTTTATGAATTTGACATCAAAGGCAAAGGAAGTCAAAGTAAAAATAAATGAATGGGACTATATGAAACTGAAAAAATTCTACATAGCAAAAGAAACCTTTGACAAGACAGAGGTAACTATCTGAATAGGAGAATATATTTACAAACAACGCCTCTGATAAGGGGCTAATATCCAAATATACAAAGGATTCTTACAACTCAACAATAAAATAAACATACAATCCAGTTAAATAATGAGCAGAGGACCTGAACAGACACTTCTCCCAAGAAGACACAAACAGCCCACAGACATGAACAGATGCTCAACTTCCCTAGCTATTGGGGAAATTCAAATCAAAACCACAATGAGATACCAACTCATACCTGCTAGAATGGCTATCATCAACAGGACAAGTAATAACAAATGTTGGAGAGGATATGGAGAAAAAGGAAACCTCATATACTGCTGGTGGGACTGCTAATTGGTACAGCCACTATGGAGAAAACAGTATAGAGGTTCCTTAAAAAACTAAGAATAAAATTACCATATGACCCAGCAATCCCCATTCTGGGTATTTACCCCGAAATTTTGAAAACATTTATCTGCAGAGATATATGCACCCTGATGTTCATAGTAGCATTATTCACAGTGGCCAGGACATGGAAGCAACTGAAGTGTCCTATGATAGATGACTGGATAAAGATGTGGAACTTATATACAATGGAATATTACTCAGCCATAAGGAAAGATGAAATACTGCCATCTGCGACAACATGGATGGATCTTGAGATTATCATGGCGAGTGAAATAAGTCATACAAAAAAGTTGAGAACCATATGATTTCTTTCATATGTGGGATATAAAACTGAAAAACAACAAACTAACATGACAGAGACTCATGGACATAGATTAGTTGTTACTAGAGGGAACGGGACAGGGCGAGGTAGATGGGGTAAAAGGGTCAAATATTTGGTGACAGAAGGAAATTTACCTTTGGGTGGTGAACACACCAATGATGTATTATTGAATTGTACATTTGAACCCTCTTTGATTTTATTAACTAATGTCACCTCAATAATTTTAATAAAAATATTGACTATAAAGATATGGTAAAATTTGTGAAGGTGGTACTTAAATAACTGAATTTTGGGAGACAATAAGAGAACAGTATTAAGCAGAGCCACATGAGTGACTAATACAAATTATTTAGTATTCCAGGAGTTCAAGTGCACTAGAGATTATTGAAGGTTGGGGTTATCAGTGAAATTATTATAAAAGAAATGGAATTGGAATTTGGGCTCTATGGAAAATGTGGGATTTGGTAAAGTAGATGGGCTGATTGAAGCTCATTCCAGGCAGAAAGAACAGTGTGGGAAAGGTATCACTAAGAACTTTTCAGAAATGTATGATCTAATTAGATAACATTGCAGAAATATTGTTAATTTTCTTGAGTGTAATAGTGTTGATGTTGCTTATGTAAGAGAATTTCACTATCTGTAGGTGATGCATGCTGAATTATTTATGTTTGCAGTTTCCTGATGAAAATTACTTTCAAAAGGGGGGGGAGCGAAAGAGAGAGAATATGAGAATATATTAAACTTTGTGAGAATATTAAGAATATTAAATTGAGGGAGATATATATAGTAGAACATAAACACTAAAGCTGCGCATATATTTTGTCTATGAAATTGTACTTTTAGGAAATAACTTTCTAGTTATTTAGTAATCACTAGAAACTGGAAACAAATGGTAACTGACAACCAAGTGCTCATTTGATATATGGTATGGCGATGTAGGAATTCAAAGGGGAAGAAGCATGCATGTATTGAGCTAGAAAACCACCCACCAATCCTACCTCATGACTTAAATAATATAATAAACCGAAACAGGAGGCTTTTGCTAACTAAGATGTTGCCAGCATTGTATTGTTTTTGAACACAAGCTCTGGACCTTTGTGCACTGTAACATAGCCAGTGTTCTCTGGCCATGTACCACAAGCACCTTTGTTTTGCTAAAACCAAGGCAAGAAACAAAAAACTGCACAGATCATCTACTATCCAGAATTTCTACACACTGAACCAATTTCAATGTGCTTTCAAATTCTGGAATCTTAGTATACTTAAACAACACATGGAAAGACATTTTTGGAACTGTATTTAGGTGCCCTGAGATTTAAAAATAATGTAACAATGCATGCTTCACAATATTTCACTGAGTATTTTTTATTACAAGTCCAATAGATTTTTATCTAACACATGTACTCAGCTTCTTCTTAGTCACACTTAGTCACTGTGACTAAGGACCAGTAACCAGATGTTTTGCAATAATTAGTAAGTTTTGATGTGCTGATTGTCCCTAAAGGGCAACAGCTACAAATAGGTTAAACAAGATCTTAAATTGGGTTTAATATCATTAAAACTGTGCAAAAGCATCTCATACATATGCGTATGTAACTTAAACAAATTCAATTGTATACTAAAATCAAAACATTTAATAATTAAAAATATTTTTTTATAAAATATTACTCCTAAATGTAAACCAGACACCTTATCTGGTGACTTAAGTAAAGAAATATATCGATACTGGATATACAAAACTGTATACTCAATGTTATAGGCAATTTAATAGATTTTCAAGTGTAATTATGACTTTATTTGGGTTTCACTTATGCAATGACTTTAGAACTCAACCCTGAGCAAAATGGGACTTCCACATCTAACACAGAGTGCTTGGTTGTAAAAAACATAATCTGTTTTGAATCCTTCTGGGAGTGTGCAAGTTCACAAATTTCTTATTTATAAAATTGGAAGATTGAGAATACCTATCTGTGATGGTTAATTTTATACATCAACTTGGCTGGGACACAAACATTCTGAATGTTTTGGTGAAGGTGTATTTTTTGTTGAGATTAACATTTAAAATATTGGACTTTGAGTAAAGCATATTACCCTCCATAATGTAGGTTGGCTTTATTCAATCACTTGAAGACCTTAATAGGTAAAGGCTGACCTTCTTCAAGCAAGAAAGAATTCTTCCAGCAGCGTAGACTGCCCTTGGACTCAAACTGCAACTTTTTCTTGGCGCTGCAGCCTGCCAGCCTGTTCTATTAGATTTTGTATTCACCAGGATTCCACAATTATGTGAACCAACT